AACGGTAGTAAGGTGGGTCCTGAGAGACCAATGCAATAGAACTCTAGGAGCGCTCGGCTGGGGTGGTATGTTACAACATGGCGGTCCCGGTGGAGAAATGCACCCCTCCCCTCCAAGATGCCAGTGCTCCAGAACAAAACCCAGCTCTGGTCTGGAAGCATTAGAGCTAAGCTGCTTATTCTGGGATGAAGACTCCAGAGGGTCGCAGCAGTGAGATAGTGCAGTGGATAAAGCACCAGCCTTGGAGCTGGAAGGACCTGAGTTAAAATCTAGCCTCAGACACTTACTAACTGTGTGACCTTGGGCAAGTCACTTAACCCCGACCACCTCAAAAAAAAAAAAAGACTCCAAAGGATCTGTGAACATTGATGGGAGAAAAATGACACCTTTATTTTCACAAACCTCTAAGTAAAAGTTGCCATTTCCCTTCAGTTACTTAAAAACACGACTCTGAGAAGGCACCAGTTATCTTCACCAGGCAGTCCAAGAGGTCCATGACAGAAAAAGAAAAAAAAAAAAGATTAAGAACCTGGTGAGCCCTTTGGAGGCGAGAATCCTCTGTCAGCTAGAGAACACAAGGGAAGGGATCAGTCTCTCATCCAGACAGGATTAGTCAATCAAGCAATAAGCCTTTACTAAGTGTTTACTATGTACAAGTCACTGTGCTAGGCACTGCGGATAGGAAGAGTGATCAGTGAAAAGGCATTGATTAGGTACTTACTATGTACTATGTTTCAAGCACTGTGCCAAGTCCTAGAGATACAAAGAAAGGCAAAACCATAATTCCTTGACCTCAAGAAGCTCACAGATAAATGGCAGGGGGTGGGGATGGACCAAACATGCAAACAATTACCTACATATTAGATATATTTGGTCTAAATGAAAGGTAATTTACAGAGAGAAGGCATTAGTGGTGGGGGGAGGTGTGGGGACTGGGAATGGGATTTAAACTGCATCTTGAAGGAAGCCAGGGAAAGCAGGAGGCAGAGGTGAGGCACGGGGCACAGCCAGGGCAAAGGCCCGGAGAGGGGAGATGGGAGATGGGAGGGCCTGTAAGTGAAGAACAACAAAACGGACCTATGATTTTCAATGGTAGGGAAGTCCCAGGTGAGGAAATCCCTTCCATCAGTGCAAGGCAGCACCTTTTTCACAACTTAAAGAGTTGCCTGGGACAAGGAGGGGTTGTGATTTGCTTAGGTTTACACTGCTACTATGCATCAGAGGCAGGACGGCTCTCTTCACAACACAGAGCTGTCTCCCTAGAGGAACAGGACAAGAACGAATTCCTGCCCTCAGGGAACTTCCATTTTCATGCAAGAAGTAACATGGTGACTGTTGCCATTGGGTTTCGCCCCCAAATCTCCCGTCCCTCATTTCCCACTCTCTTCTGAGAATAGAAGGAGCCCATCCCTCATTTGGATCTCGTGCCAAGGCAGTGCAGTGCTTTAGAGATAACCTTGTACTTGGGCCAGAAGACCTCAGCTCTAGTCTGGGCTCTATCACTTGCTAGTCATGTGACTGTGGAAAAGTCTCTTTCACTCAGCCTCAGTTTCCTCTACTTGCTCTCTTCAGATATGAAAGAAGGTGCATGTGAAGAAAACAACCCATAAACTATAAGTCACCATAGGGATGTGAGTTAGACTGGAAGCTCCTTGAGGGCAGGGGCTGTCTTTTATCTCTTTTTACATCTCCAGTGCTCAGTACAGGGCCAGGCGCACAGTAGGAGCTTAATAACTTTTTTAAACTGATTTTTTTACTGTTTATTGATTAACTGAGTGAGGTTTTCTTTTTCCTTGTCACAACGCTGGTCTCCTGGGGCTGTGGATTCCTTAAGCGTTGGCCCAGAGGCTCTTCCTTGGGGTTTGCACACACAGATGAAGAGGAGTGGACCTCCTGAGAATACTTTTCATCTTGTCAGACTGATCTGGCTTGATATGTTCCTCGTCAGGAATAAGCAGCCCAGGCAGCAGCAAAACAAACCCCAGAAGAGATCATAGAACCCCTCCCCCAAGAAAAATCAATGCTCACTCCCCCCCCAAAAAAAAACCCCAACATGGAGAGTCATAATCTCCGTGTTGGAGCTTATCCAAGCATTGTAGGGAACAATGTCATTGCACAACCACGCCTGACGTAAGAGCAGAGTCACGTGACCCGCCACCTGTTTATCCCTATGCTAAGGCCTCAGTTTCCTCATCTGTAAAATGAATGAGTTGGACGAGTGCCTCTGAGGTCCCTTTCAGCTCTAGATTCGTGATCCCAAGGCTGGAAGAGGCCGAATCCAACTATCTCATTTTACTGATGAGGAAGAGGCAAAGCGACCTTGCCCAAGGTCACAGTCAGAATTTGAACCTGGGGTCCCTGACTCTAAAATCTGGCATTCTTTGCAAATTTGTGCTGTGTTGGGAGGTTTGCAAAGTGCTCTGCATGCATTACCCTGACATCTCAAAACAGCCTCGTGAGGGAGGTACTGTAGATATTACTATCCCCATTTTATAGGAGAGGAAACTGAGATATAGAGAGGTCAACAGGTTGGTCCAGTCACACAAAAGAATCAGCATGAGATGAGAACCCTGCTTTCAAGGCTCTAAACTCTTACGTATGGATCAGCAAACAAGGCCAAATACGCAGCTAGGTAGAGTTAGGTGACCTAGTGGATAAAGAGCTGGGGGTGGAGTCAGGAAGACCTGAGCTCAAATCCAGCCTCAGATCCTCAAAGCCCTGTGATTCTGGGCAAATCACTTCACTTCTCTTTGACTCAATTTCCTCATCTGTAAAATGGGGATAATAGCAGCTTCCTCCCGGGGTTGTTGCGAGGCCCAAATAAAATGACACACGTAAAGGGCTGTGCAAACCCTAAAGACCCTACGATGTTATCACTGGTTCTTATTGGTAGAAGGGATCTCATACTCAGCCAACATCCCATCCCCCATTTCTCATCCTGCCCTTTTGTGCTCCCTCCAATGAACTTTTGTTCCTGGATGTGAGTGTGTGAGAGTGTGTGTGTGTGTGTGTGTGTGTGTGTGTGTGTGTGTGTAAGTCTGTGTGAGTGTGTGTACTCGGGTGAGTGTGTGTGTGTGTGTGTGTGTGTGTGTGTGTGTAAGTCTGTGTGAGTGTGTGTGTACTCGGGTGAGTGTATGTGTGTGTGTAAGTCTACGGGAGTGTGTATGTGTGTGTGCTCGGGTGTGAGTGTGAGTGTGTGTGTGTCTGTATGTGTTGCATTGCTGCTGGGGGGGAACAGGCAAGGGATGGTCTATTATGCTACAGAAATGCTTGTTTTGTCCCATACATTAAAAAAAAAGTGAAGAAAAATTTAACAAGAAAAGAAAGAATAACTGAGGCCCATAGGTAAGAAGAGAGGAACCCCTCTGGCCTCTGCTCTGGTTGAGAGGTGGAGTTGGGCCAAGAACCCAGACCCCCTTCCCTTCCAGTTCAGGGATCACTTCTTGATCCACTGTTTTTTTCCCCCCCCGAAAAGCCCCTTTCACTCGCCATCTCCTCCCTCCTCTGCTACCTCAGAAGTAACAAGTCCTGAGAGTGCCCTTGAGGGGCTGAGCTTCTGGAGTCTGATGCCTCCGCCCAGGGTTTCCAGGGAAGCATCAGCTGAGCCCACAAGGAGAACCCACACCTTCCCATGGCTGTAAACCGCCCCCATTCAGCCCCACACCCATCATGTGTGAGAGCCACACTGGCCAGCAGCCCTCAGCCCCCCACGGGCCCCTCCTCAGCACCTAGGCAACTGAACAGCCACAGACGCGCCATTTCTGAGGATCTGCTTTTGGAACTGTCTGCTCGACAGGTTATGTTTCCAACCAACAGAGCCACAATTAAAATAATATTCCACTACTGGGCGTCTTGATCCTCTTATACATTCCATGTGGCCGGGAAAGATACAATAATCATTGGCTTTCAGGATTCCCCCGGCCCCTGTTCTTAAATGGCTGTCATTAATCTTAGAGACCAAAGAAGAAAACAACTCAGAATCAAGCATGACAGAAGGCGACGGGAGAGAGGTATAAAGTAGATGCTTCAAAGGCTGAGATATGGATTTTACCCTGATGGAATTAGCAAAAGGACTTCAGAGCACCATATTAATTGTCTTGGGTCCAGTTTTCTCGACCCCATCAAAATAATGTTAAATAAAACTTTCCTTTCCCCAGTCCACAGCGAAGAAAAATGTATTTTCAAGGCCTGGGAAGTACTGCAGAGGGAAATAAAACATTTCTAATTTGTAATCATTAAGCAAAGACAACCAGGCACTGAGCTCAAAGACAAAGGCAAGTATTTTTTATACAAAAATCCTTCAACTCCAATGGTGGGGATGCTAGTTTTCCTCTTTGCTGATGTGTGTCTAGGAGGAGCTGCTTTGGGAGCTATGTTCTGAAGGTGAAGGGACATGAGTTTACCACAACCCCTGTCTTGAAACTCACATTCTATTGGATATTTAAGAATGTGACTACATAGTGAGCTCTCTAAATCTAGGTGTGAGCAAGCATTCCAGGGTTCCTCTTTGGAGGTGGAACATGGGATCAATGTTGGACTTCATGCCTTCATCCAAGGACCAGTCCGATCTAAAGCTTGGAGATGTTGATCACCAGGAGGTTGGCCACAAGGTGATGGCTTTGTTTCTGATCATTACAACTCATGAAACACACAGAAGAGCCACAATCTGGATGGAGGAGAGAATGCTCACCCTGATGAAACCACACAGCTTCTGAAGTTGACGAATGTTTACAGGTTGTAACTACCTAAGCTTATTTCATACCCTTGCCCCCAACGTGGCCAAAGGCCAGCATTTTCTTTAGCCCATTTTCTTACATATTTATAATGAAAATTTGTCTGCTTGGGTGATCTTTCCAAAACTTCCTGAGAACAGAAAACCCCTGCTTTTCCTAAGACTGACAGGAAGTCATGGAGATGGCCCAAGCAGAAAAGACGCAGTGTCCGCCCTCACCCGAGATCAGGCTTCATCACGCCCGCACCCACCCGGGCACAGACTCTACCTTGAGAGTTCTCACAGTTCTCCTCATCGCTGTTGTCCTGACAATTATCCTCTCCATCGCACACGAAGCTCTTGTCGATGCAGAGGCCATTTTTGCAATGGAAGCGGGCTGTGGAGCACAGGAGGGGGTTTGCAGCTGCGAAGAGAAAAGAAGATGAGTTAGCAGGAGGGCCTGGAGATGTGCTGACCTCCTCCTCCACCAGGAAGATGCTCCCATGTGGGGAAAGCAGAGCAGAGCAGAGCAGAGCAGAGCAGAGTGGGATCCTTCTGAGAGGGTCAGATCACTCTCCTAGGCAGGAAGAGCCTTGGGCCAAGCACAGAGCTCACTTCAAGGAGAAAATGATAGGGCTGGAGAAAGAGCACACACACCTGCATGTGTGTACACACACACACCTGAGTGTGCACAGACACAACTACAGAAAATTACATAGAACATATCTCCAAGCGTGAACACGGGAGCAGGAGCCTTCCTTTTGCATCACAGTCAGCAGTTTTCTCACCTAGTAAGTGACAGGGTTAGATTAGATAATCTTCGTGTTTCTTCTGACCTCTAACAGCATATGTTCTAAGGGCCCTTCCAGCTCCGGACATTCTATACTGTAAGGTTCCACCTCTCCTGATTTCTAATATTCCATGCTCTGAGAGCCCATTTAATTCTTTGTTCCAGAGTCCCTTCTATTTCTCACATTCTATGTTCCATGTTCTAAGGGTCCTTCCAGCTCCTGACATTCCATACTGTAAGGTCCCTTCCTGCCCTGACTTCTAATATTTCATGCTCTGACAGCCTGTTCAGTTCTTTGTTCTAGAGTCTCTTCTGGCTCTGACATACTGAGTTCCATGTTCTAAGGACCTTACTAGCGCTTGCCATTTCATTCTCTAAAGCCCCTCTATCCTGATTTCTAACATTTTGTGTTCCAAGTTCCAAAAGACCTTCTAGTTCTTTGTTCTAGAGTCCCTTCTAGTTCTGGTATTCTATGTTTCATGTTCTAAGAGCCTTCTCACTCTGACATTCTGTGTTCTAAGATCCTTCTCAACACTAACATTCTATGTTCTAAAGTCCCTCCTGATATTAACATTCTAGGGTCTAAGGCCCTTTTTGCCTCTGATATTCTGTGCTCTTGAGTCTCTTCTAACGCTAACATTTTATGTTCTAAGCCATCTTCCAGTTGACATTCCATGTTCTAAGGTCCCTTCTGACACTAACATTCTATGTTCTAAGTCACTTTCCAGTTTCTGTGTTCTATGTCCTAAGGGTCCTTCTATCCCTAACATTATATATTTTTTAATATTCTAAGGATCTTTTCCAGTTCTGATATTCTGTGTTCTAAGGTTCCTTCCAGCTACAGACATTTTATGTTGTGTATTCTAAAGGCCTTTCCATATGTGACATTCTGTTTTCTAAGGCCCCTTCCAGTTTTGACATTCTGTGTTCTAAGGTCCCTCCTGATACTGTAAGATTCTATGCCTTGTATTCTAAGATTCCTTCTAGCTCTGACATTCTGTGTTCTAAGGTCCATTTCACCTCTTAACCTTCTATTTTCTATATTCCAGGATGCCTTGTAGATCTGACATTCTGTGTTCTGATGTCTGTTCTAAATCTATCATTCTATTTTCGAAGGTCTCTTCTACTGAGAACATTCTTTGCTCACCCCTATGAAACCAGAGCTTTTGAAGTGCAATATTTACTACGTGTTACCACCTTTATTCCCTTGCTCCCAGTAAGAGGAGGAGGCCAGTGAGTCACCACTTCTGTTCTAATGGTGCTTCTTGCGCTGACGCTGTGTTCTAAAGTCCTTTATGATATGAACATTCTATATTCAGAGGCCTCTTCTAGCTCTGACATTCTGTGCTCTACGTGCTAGCTCCCTCCAACACTGCTATTCTATGATTCTAGCCTTAGATCCTGCCTCCTGTCCATAGCACCCTCTACAGAGATGTCTATTGGGTCACATCTACACAACTGAAGAATTGGTTACTTGACTGCCACCTTCATGACTGTCACTTCACAACTGGGTATCAGTGAATCTGAGGATTCACTGACATAATATATGTTAAATGCTCTGCAAGCCTCAAAGGGCAATACACAGCAACCTAAAAGTCTTGGACTACACTCTTAAGCTTTAATAGCTTAAGACTATCAAAGCCCAGGGGCTGCTAGGTGGCACTCCAGCACTGGGCCTGGAGTCAGGAGGACACATTTTCCTCAAATCTGGCCTCAGATACTTCCTAGCTGTGTGATCCTGGTCAAGTCACTTAACTTTGTTTGCATCAGCTTCCTCATCTATAAAATGAGCTGGAGGAGAAAATGGCAAACCACTCCAGCATCTTTGCCAAGAAAACCCCAAATGGGCTCACAAAAGGAGTTGGACATGACTGAAAAGCACCTGAATAACAACAAATTAAAGCATAAGACTGCACCAAGACTTCTGGGACGCCCTGTTTAAGTCACTGGGCTAGGAGGATCGGTTTCTAGAACGCTCACATATTAACAGACCTTTTGTTATCTCCAGGGGGGGAAATCATCCAGCTACAATAAAAATAGACAAGAGCAGATGCAAAGCAAAGAAGTGAATTTGGCTCTCTGGCAACCTCACTGATCTGGAACACCGCTGAAAACAGGAAAGTAAATTTAAAAAGGCATCGGAGCAGCCAAATTAGAGACCGTGAAGTCCCCACACTAAAACTGAAGCATTTTAACCCTCTGCTCCATACCGGTAGCCTGTCTGCTCTTACTTTACACACAATTCTATCATTTGGTTATCTAATATCCAAGGAAGACTAGGACCAGCAAATGGATGAAGGCAAGAGGGGTGGATACACAGACTGTAGTAAGAAATAACAGTTGAGAGCAAAGGGAAAAACAACAACCAAACCATAAAAAGCTATTTACCACTTTAAAAAATACAGCAGTCTGGGGCTGTCCTGTATAAGGTCAAATAAGCCTACATGCCTTAATAGGTCCTGCCGGTCTCATCATATAGCATTACGTGTAGAATTATGATAACTACTCATGAACAGCAGCAATGGTAAAAACTATTTAAATAACACATTTCTATGATACTTCAAGGGTCTGCAAAATGCTTTCCTCCCAATAACCCTGTGACATATTGAGTACAAATATTATTCTACCATTTCTAGATAAGAAAACTGAGCCTCTGAGACACTTGCCCAAGGTCAAGCCTGTAAATTAAAGGGGGGAGATTTGGATCAATTTCTTCTTACTCTTAATCTCATTCTCCTTCCCCTACATCATGCCGCCTCCCTACATGAAACAAGAGGATGCCTGTGATTATGACCTTGAGAAGGTACAGAATGTAAAAATGGAGGCTATCAATAAAACCTATTTTAAAAAAATACCCAGATAAAGGCTTCCAGTATACTGTGCAGGCTTTCTAGGCTGGGCTCATGGAAGGATGTGGGCAAGGTTCATACAAGATGGAGAAGTACATGGTTGCAATCTGGCCCCAAAGAGGTACATCCGCCAATGAATTCACGAACACACAGAAGTCTCAGAGTATCAGCCAGACTTAATTGAGTGCCCTAGGAACAAAAGAGGCAGTGCCTATATTCTTGGATTCAGTTACAAAGCCTCTTCGATCTTAAAAGTTCTTTGGTATCCACTAGATCTACTAGAAGTTTCCAAACAGCACCTTTTCACAAGGGTATGATGGTGGGTGATGGTGTGGAGAAAAGAGAATGATCTTCGAGGCCAGCCCTGCTTGAGGTAGACAGAATAGTCCAAAGGAAAACCTTTGCAACTAAACACTCTGCCAGCATTAATTCTGACCACAACTAGATCACCATTATTAGGAAAACACTTATAGACCTGCAAAGCTTGAATATACACAAAATGGAGCAATTCCTTAGAAACATTCTACACTAAGTTATTTAAAGTCTGTGGAGTGTACTCTTCAAGACCTATTGTCAAAGATCATTAATTACGGGTTTTTATCCCTAGCGCCCACAATTCCCATTTATTCCTATGTAACCTGATGCTTACCACTTTCAACCACCCTCTAAATTTCTTCTCTAATTTCATTCCCCAGTGGTTTTCTTGCTCTATCCCTTGACCCCTGGGAAATAAAGTACCACATATGACATTTAAGAAAGGTGGCTAGTATCAAATAAATTCCACAGACATTTAATGTCTACCGCATGCAAGTAATGACGTAGACTCTGCTCTCAAGGAGTTTCCATTCTGGTGGGGCCCTTTCCCAGAAAGGTGTAGATACGCAAGACTGGAGTTCAAGAGAGAAATGATGGTTAGATATGTTGATTTGGGAGTTGTCAGCATAGTGGCTGAATCAATTGGAGCTGATCAGTTCACTAAGAGAGTGTTGAGGGAGAAAAGGAGAGAGCCTTGGGGGAATAAGTATAAATAGGAAGGAATATAGATGATGACCTTACAAACGGACCAGGAAGAGGGGAAAAATCTGTGCACAAGTAACAAGAGTATGAGGGAGAAAGAGATAAATGCAAAGAACGAGGCCAGGCCAAGTCCTATGATCATATGAGAAATCTGAAGCTGCAGAGATTATTTTCAACTAGAGAGAGACAGAGAAAGAGACAAAGAGGAGGAAGAAGTAAGGCAGGGCAAGGGGGGATCAGGAAAGGCTACATGCACCAGGTGGCCCCTGACTTGGGCTCCAAAGGGAGGGAAAGCTCCAACAGATAGAAGCAAGAGTTCATTCCAGGTACAAGGGGTATCACAAACAAAGGCAGGGTGGTTTGGCTGGAATGTAGAGTAGAGCACAGCATGACAGAGCTAGAACTGGGAAGGCCTTCAGAGATCATTTAGTCCAACCCCTTCATTTTATATTTGAGGAAACTAAGGCCCAGTTAGGATAAGTGCCTTGTCCAAGGTCATCAAGGTAAATGGCAGAGGTGGATCTTGAACCCGGGCTCTTTGACTCCACAGCCAGGGCTCTGTTCACCATACCATGCAGACAGGGAAAGGGATGAGACAGGGCTAGAAGGATAGGATGCATCCAGATCCTGAAGGCCCCTGAATGCCCAAAGCTGGTAGTTTATATTTTATTTGGTAGACAATGAGGAGCCACGGAAGGTTTGGAAGGAGTGGAATGGCACGCTCAAAGAGGTCCATTTGGAAGATTACGTAGGTAGCCATAGGGTGCC